TGGGTGGCGCAGTCGGTTAAGCGTCTGACTTCAGCCAGGTCACGATCTCGCGGTCCGTGAGTTCGAGCCCTGCGTCAGGCTCTGGGCTGATGGCTCAGAGCCTGGAGCCTGTTTCCGATTCTGTGTCTCCCTCTCTCTCTGCCCCTACCCCATTCATGCTCTGTCTCTCTCTGTCCCAAAAATGAATAAACGTTGGAAAAAAAAAATTAAAAAAAAAAAAAAGATCAACTTAATGTTTGCACAGTGAAAACTAGTGCCCAATATGGGACCAATTTTACTGAGGATCCATAGATTTAGAAGCTAGGCAATAAAACACACAGATCATTCAAAATAAATTCTGTTGAATGAAAATCACATTAGAGTTTTGATTTGAGATGCATATTTCTCTATTTGCATTTCAGGAAGTAACTCTCATAAGCCCCCGCCATCCAAATAAAGATATTCAATTTGTCAGATAATTTCACCTCCGGTGGGGGAGGTGGGACAAAAAAAAAGTACTAAATGAAAATAAACACATTTCTGATGCTGAAGGCACATGTTCCCTGTGGAATCTTTCCTTTTATATGACAATAGTCGTCTCTTTTGTGGTCATGATGATTATAATATGTTCCTCAGAGATGTATATCAAGAGATTTAATGTCAGATGTGAAGAATTTTCTCAAAGGTAGAAGACAAGCTGCAAAATGGTAGAACAGAAACTGACAAGGGAATATTTACATTAAAGAATTAGTTTAATATGATTTTGGGAAATACATGTATTTTGAACAACTATAAACTGTCTATAGCACCATGAGGAACAATTTTTTTTCAAGCAATCTGTAGCTTTAAAAGACTAAGAAAATCCTCTGTAGAGAGACATGGTTTGAAGGTAAATTCTGAATACTGAAGAACTCAGAATGAAGGAAAGGATTGTTCATCATTGGGGCACAGATAGAGAAGAGTGGAAGTCAGAATGTGTTTCTGATATGAGAAGAGGAAAAAGGGGAGGGGGGAAGAAGGAAAAGACACTGATGGTGAGTAGAACCATGGGCTTTCTCAGGACACCTAGACCCCGGATCCAGCCAAGGCCCATGTTGTCATTCATGCCCCAG